AAGGAATTGCTGCCCCAGCCCTGGGTACTCACCAGCCTCCTGCAGGTTTCCATGCAGGCACCCTGGGACTGGGAGAGGTTTATTTATTGTCTGAGGCACAAATCCCAGCAGGGAGCTCTGCCTTTCCCCCAGCACTGAAGGTGCAATTAGAGAGGGACCAGTCGAGGGGTTTTAACCCCCTGGGTGCTGATGACATCTTGGACACATTGCCCAGTGTTGTGTCTGTTCTCCTGTCAGGTGTTTGTTTGGAGGAGATGTCAGAGCTGTGGGGCAGCTCAAGATTAACTCACTAATTCTAAGGGCAGCAGCGTGAATGACAAAGCAGTTTCCAAACAGCAGCAAATTCTCCTTTCTCTGCTACATTTCACCCTTGGCTTGGCTAGAGTCTGGGCAGCAGGAGCAGGGATGGGAGCAGGGGGAAGGGTTTCCAGCTGGGAGAGGGGAGAGGAGCAGCTGAGGCAGCTGAGGTGTCCAGCCTGGAGCAAAGGAGGCTGAGGGGAGACCTGCTGGCTCTGCAGCTGCTGAGAGGAGGTTGGAGCCAGGGGGGTCGGGCTCTGCTCCCCAGGAACAAGCGACAGGACAAGAGGGAACGGCCTCAAGTTGTGCCAGGGGAGGTTGAGGTTGGATCTGGGGAACAATTTCTCCCTGGCAAGGGTTGTCAGGGCCTGGCCCAGGCTGCCCAGGGCAGGGGGGGAGTCCCCATCCCTGGAGGGGTTTCCAAGCCCTGGAGATGGTGCTGAGGGACACGGGGCAGGGGTGGCCTGGGCAGGGCTGGGGAAGGGTTGAGCTTTGTGGTCTCAGAGGTCTTTTCCAAGCAAACCTCAGAGAGGGAAACCAGCACCATCATCCCCAGCATGTAGGTGGAGAGGGGTGAAATAACAAGAGGCAGATTAGAGAGTTGTGTCCCCTAGTGCTGGGGGAGGGGAGGGGAGGAGAGGGGAGGAAACTTGGATATTCCCCCAGGAGATCCTCTGGGAGATCTCCAACAGCTGTTCCAGCCCCATGCATCCCCTTGTTGCCTCTCCAGGCTCTTGTGACTCCCAGTCCTCTCCCCATTGCTGTGCAGACCACACTCCCAACCTCCACTCCTTCTCTCCCTCTCTCTGTCCCACCCTTTCCTCTTCAGTCCCTTTTCCAAGCCAACCCAGCTCTTCCCTCACCTTCCCAGAGACAACTGAGCCTCAGCTTTGTTGGTCCATCCCCACCTGTGCCTCTTGGCCCTGCTCCTGGAGGAGATGTGAGCTCTTGACACCCCATCCTCTGGTTAGGGGTTTCACTTCTTCTGCAGGGCAGAAGTGACCAGCAATGGACATTTCAGTTGCAAAGTGGTGGTCACAGTCACCAGCAAAGACACAGGTTGAGGGAGGAGGAACGTTCCCCTCTTCCCCAGCACAGCCAAGCTCCATGGCCACCGTTTGGAAAGCAAGAACCCCACTCCATTTTCATCCACGCCCAGGAGAAACTCTTCCTGCCTCCCCGCTCTGGGGCTCTATTAACTGTCTCTTTGAGAAGCAGGCAGCCAGGAAACGGAGAGCAGCGTTTGCAGGGTGATTCATTCATTTCTCTTTATTAATTTTTCTCTCAGAGCAAAAGGAGGAAAAAACCAACCTCGGGACAGATGGAGCCTGGGCAGGAGCTGTTCCTCAGTGTCACCAGCCTGGCTCTGAAACATTATTTTGCACTTCCCAGATCACATTAAGGAAGTACAGCTTGTTTGTTTTTTTTTCATTTCTATGACAATGTTTTTACCCTTCCAAGCTCTAATAAAAGAGAATATAACAAAAAATGCCAGGGGGCAAAAATTGCCTTTAAGGCCCAGATGGCAGCTGCTTGGAACCGACATGAGTGGAAGAATTGATTTGGCAATAAAAGGTGCTTTGAGGTAGCAGGGAAGGTTCCAAGGAGGTGTTTTGTGGAGACTGAAGCTGTAGGAGCACAGGCTACAGGCAGGACACCCACCTCACCCTCAGTGGGGGTGGGAGAAGCTGCACCAGATGTTGCTGCTGTGTGAAGACCCCGATGCCAGGTTGGGGTGTCTTTGGTGAGACGCTGCTTTGGCCCCACCTTGAAGATGTGGACAAGCTGCCAGAGCCCCTGAGGGCAGCACTTAGACCTGTCTTCTGTCCTCCTTGATGGAACTCGTTGCTCATTGCCTGATTTCCATGGATTTCCCTGATTCTCTGATATCACTGATCTCTTCCTCACAGCTGAACTCGCTGGGACTGCACCCCGATCTACAGGGGCACAGGAGCAGCAAAGGAGAGTTGCCCCCAGGGGTTGTGCTGCCTCCACCCTTGAAGGTCTTTAAGACTCAACTGAAGAAAACTGGCCTCACATGGAGTGAAACTTCTCCCCACAAACCTTAGCCCGTCAGGCAGAGTCAGTGCAGACTTAGATGCTCTATAATTTTTACTTTTATCTTTCCTCCTTGAGGGAAACTGCTCTTTTCTTCCCATCAGTCTAACCAAAAGGCCTTTTCAGCCAGCAAAGGCCTCTCCTGACCATTCCCTGCTCACGGACTAAACCAGACCTGCTTCTCAAGGACAACTGAACCCAAAACAACAGATGTGGTGCGGGACAGAAAGGATGGGCCACCAGCCATCCTGTGGCCCTGGCAGTCACCCCCTCACTTGGGGCTCATGGTGCTCCTTGGCTCTGGGCAGTGACACTGCCTGGGCAGGGGGGTCCCAGGGGTCTCAGAGGCGGCAAGTGCAGCAGGTGGGCCCTTCCCTCCTCCCTGAGGCCCGTTGGGACGCTTTCTGCGTGGGACACCCCCTGCTGCGGGCACTGGTGCTGGGACCTGCCTGCCTGCCTGCCCCGG